TCGCCGCGTGGTGAGTGGTGGTGTTCTCCAATACACAACGAAAGTCTACCTGCAAGCAGCGATCTGCAGCCCACATGAGCATCCATAGAAGGAGGAAGAAGCCGCACCGCTATTGATCGGAATCAGTTGCACTTCGTGAGTAGCTGTGGGCCATCTATGTCAAGCACACCGTACTAAAGAGTATAAACAGATATAATCCCGCTCAAATTCCTTTTCCTACACAAAACACAAGCTCCTGCTACAGTTAACAAATAAGATTTATTATATAAGACCACCTAGTCCTACGTCAACACCAACCCCATAGGGTTGTCCCTTGTAGTTTTTGGTATTTTATCTCTTATATCAGGCTCATCTATACCAATTTAAGGTATCGAGATATTCGTTCCTGTTCGGGTTTCGCTTTCCATGCGCTCCTAACAGAGTGGTCAATTTCATTCTGACAGTTATGTAACGTATTCTCGGCAAAACAAAAGTCTGTCTTCGTTTTGATAGATATTTTAAGTATTTTCGGCAAAGTAAAATATGAATGCCGTAAATTGTTACATTATTTAGCTGATTTCGGCAGTTTGAGATTTTTTCAATTAGATCAGTGATTACTATTGACGAGGCTTGGTAAATGATTTTTTAACCGAAATTTTGCTAATTCGGATCTGGGAATTTCGGTAAAATATTATATGTTCAACGAAACATCGGCAAATTTTCAGTTAACTCAACTGTTGTGGCAATATATTTCACCGAGGACTGATTTTGATTTTAAGTTTGTAACCAGGTGTGTGTTCTCACATATACATTTAAAAAAAGCCATACATAACTCGTTAATTGTATTGAAATTTTATCATATAGGAAGATTCAAAAAATTAACTGGTATTGTATTGTATGACAAAAATACAAGGAAAAATAAAATAAAATGGCGAGTGTCCACGGTCCATACAAATTGTCCACGTAGGAGATGGGTATATAGGGTGTCACAGAAAGTATAAGCACATTCTCAACTCGCTGCCATTTCTACTCCGATGAAGCTTATCAGCTGTTAATCAATGTGGGAAGGCAGCTCCCACACCTGGACCCTACCTATCGACCCATCAACTCATGAACCGGGGACCAACGGCTTTACTTCCCTTCCGAAGGAAGGTGTGATCAGAGATGTTATGCCTCAGAACATCCCGGCGGCGCCGACTGAGATTAAACCCAGGCCAGCTGGGTGAGAGGTAATCACGCTTACCACTACACCACCGGTGCCGTTCTTCAATGTGTTTTGTTGTTTACTTATTGTTCAACAAGTTTGTGTGCGTAAAGTGCATTTTTTTTACAAAATCTTCAAAATGCGAGGCATTTCCCCGGAACGGCGCAAACATATCGTGCACACATTCTTGTGGTCTCCTGAGTTAAAGTCTAGAACAGCGTTTCTCAATCTATGGGTAAGGGTAGCAACCCATTGATTGGTGGGTCGCGGGCTGCCTTTGGTGGGTCTCGGAAATTCAAACAGACAGGTCTGAAGCATTTTAAATTTCATACGCTAATTTAAATCTCTTGACCAAGAATGCAAATGCTAGGCTTTTAACGTCTCTGTAGCGAGCGCTTAGTGTTCTAGATGTACTTCAACTTTTATTGTTTGTGGATTTTCTATACCAACCAATGCATAAAAATTTGTATATTGTTTGGCAAGCATTATGATACTCCATGACCAGAGAAGGCGGGAAAATTTCCAACCCGAAAGATTACCTCGAACGGACCTTGAATCGAGCCCGCAGTTCCGGCTTAGTAATATCGTGGCTTTACTGACTAGGCTATCTGAGGCCCTTGCATGCTCATACCACATGGATACATGTTTTTCTCAATAATTAAATCAAAAGATGTTACGATCACAATTTTTCTTTCTGAGAGTTAAACACAGCGTTTTTATAATCATTGAGTAAGTGAGAGAGTGCAAATTGATATAATCGCTTATTGTGAGTTTCAAGAAGCGAAATTGACATGAGTCAAACACATACTTTACAACCTATATCTTACAAATAAAAACAATGATCAAAACATAATTCCAGGGGATGGGATACCTTTGTTAATTATGTATATCAAAATATATTTAGATATTATAATTTTATTAACTAAGCCATGAAAACAAAAATATTCGTAGAACAAACATTATTTAATACAAAGATGCATGGTCATTATAGGTGTCATTGCTTATTATTGTGGCTAAGGAATTCAATTTTGACTGACTAGTGGGGCGCGCCTTTGGAGGGTGTTCCAACGCTCCGAAGGGTACAAATAGCGGGACCTTTTATCGGATTATCGGATCCTTGCGATAAATGCAAGAATGACAACTGTAAAAAAAATCGAATACTTCAACATTTTTCAATATGTACCGAACAGAGGATAAAAAATAGATGATTACAACTTACAGATAACTATTTTTAAACACTGAAAATACACTAGTAAAAAATATATAAGAAATTACGGATTCTAATTTCTAAATAATTTATCTATGTTTTCGTTCGTGAATGTTGTCAAGTTCTAGTCCCTATCCCTTTTGCCTCTTGCAAATTTTTGCCTTGTTACCTACCTATGTTTAGATCAAGCTAACTATTGGCTTGCTTGTAAGATTTCGTTGAATTTGAAATGCAATAGTGGCAATCCTTCTTTTGTAACATCCCATGGATGAGTTGTGGATACTTTTTTTTCCATGATTTACAGTGTGTTTCCAAAAATAAAGAACCACACAGAGAGATTTCTCGATCTTCTTCGAAATCTTGATGAAACTCATATTTGTTTACTCGTACTTCAAAATAGCAGCATTTATCGTCTTGTATTAGATACTTTCCAGTCGGCATAGTTCCAAAATAAACGATCATTGTGATTTTAAGCTTAAAACGCTCTGGTTTCTTAAAAGTACTTTACAGCTTGAAATTATTGTTACACTGGCAAAACTGTCAAAACCATTACTATCACTATCACTCGCTTAACAATCACTTGTAACACTTACAATCCTGACAGTAACCCAAAAAAATTGAAATATTGCTGCATGAGACATCTATTCTTCGGGATGTCTTAAATCTCCTTGACGTAGTGTATTTGAAGAAACACTTAGTGGGCACTCCCCCCTCGAAAACTATTCACTTGGTATATGCACAGCCCCCTAGGATTTGAGAGAACTATCAAAAATTTAAGATTATATAACATTCGCAAAATTGTACATGTAGAATGGTAAAGTGTACCGTTCACCAGGATATTTTTTTCAAATAAATATAATAAAATATTTATTATAATATTATTGTCGAGAAGAAGAAAATGTGCTGTGATCAACTTCACTCCGTTTTACGGTACTTGAAATTTCCAGAATATATAGAAAATTTTAAAATTATTCGATTGCGCCTTTTTCCAAGCAAGAAGAAATTTTGGAACGCTGTTGTCAATAGAAGAACAAAAAAATCAGTCTGCTTACAACGAAAAAATGGTTTCCAATTTAGATCTCCTATGCTAAATCATTCATCTACATTTTATGAATTAAATATTTCGATTTCCAACTTCTTTGATATGCGGAAGGAATGGTAAATCTCTGTTTTTAAGAAGCAATAAATAAAAACCAGCGGAAACCAGCATCGCATTGCAATGCATTTTTTTTACATTTCCTTTCGACTGATGAAAGGTTTCCAAAGAAATTTTTTGCCATCGATGGCAGTTCCTCGATGCTGTTGACACATTCTACGTGACGTTACAACGCGTTTTGCCTGTTTTTGACAGTTGTTCTTGTACTGTATGTGAATAAAATTAAAAGTAACTCCTAAATATTTTTTTCAGATTTGGAAAGTGCGTTAAATTTCCTATAAGAATTGATCAAGAGTTTCTAATTTGAGTTGCCCAAAACCTGTTGGTGAGTAGTTGCTGAGTAGTGTAGTTTAGAGGTGCAAAACGTCACGTAACGTCACGCAACACAGTCACTCACCGAATCATTTTGAGCTACTCAAATCATAAACCCTAGATCAATTATTGTAGGAAAATTATCACACTTTCCAAATCTGCAATAATATTTTAGGGTTACTTCTATTTTTTTTATTTACACATCCCGATAGAATGTGTCAGTTGCTACTTGAGCTCGCAGCTCACTCATTTGGTTTCACTCGCAAAATGATATTTTCTTCACAGTTGTAGCGAAGTATCAATGCTTATTCCATGAGATCCTATGGATTCTATTGATTAACATTGAAGATTGAATTAACTTGTTTCTAGCTAATTTGATTGAGAATTATTTATGGAAATAAATAGAGTGAAAATTATAATGCATGTTTGAAAAAAGCGGTAGTACCATAAGCCATCAACCGACATAAAAAGGCATCAAGGGTCATATTTCATCTGAACGAATTCTAGCAAACAGGCAAACATGTAAACGTTGATCGCAAACGTTGTTTCACCAACATACATCAACCGGCCAGAATATAACACTTTTGGGTCATTCGTGACCTGTCCGGTATGAGATTTTAACTCGTGACCTTGGCGTGAGAGCGTGGATGTTAATCACTATGCCGGGGAAGTCCCCAACCAGCAAGATTGATCAAATTTTGACCACCACCTAACTAGATCATCATCCTACTTATGCAAGTGAGAAGCATTTTTTTGAGAAAATTAAAGACCTACTTCTGGTTAGGTTTAAGAGCTAATATTCGTCACAATTAACTAATATGGTTGGCTGGCTCAACTACATCCGACTTGATGCATTTCAATGTATATTTAGTTCAAATTTTGACACACTCGTGAGTGAGTTAGCCATTCATCAAACGTGAGAGAACCGCTTATTACAGGGAGAGAATTTTTCTCAATGAAAACGCTACACAGATGGAAATTATGCTAGTTACAACTTTTCATTATTCGTTCATGACGATGCTCAATATGCCAACAAGCAATGTGAGAAACAACTGGAGAAATTTATAGAGAGAAAAACGAGAAGGCATGCGTTTTCTTGCGAGCGAAATGGAAGTCAGCAACATATTTTCTTCGCCACTGCTCGGAATGGTAGTAACGAGTCGTCAGTCGAAGCGATACAATCGTTGTATACCCAAACCGCGAAACCGTCCGCGAAACCTGCAGCTCTTTATCCAATCTCATGAAAAATGGAATGGAGTGAAACGAGTTTTTGAAAAAATAAAGCCACATATTGCAGCTAAAGTAATTTCGCCGCACAGCAGCAGTGTCGCGAAAGGTAAAAGTGACTGAAACGAAATTAATAACCAGAAGTAAAATCGTATATATATACACGATGGTTGAAGTGAAATTTTTATCATTTTCTCCCGACAAATTTATTACTTTTGAGGAAGGAATTAATAGAATCCGCACACGTGTGACGAGTGCTTTCGCGAACCTGTTCGAAACCTGTGGAGATTATCAACATTGATGCTCGTACTAGTTTGCAAGTGGAATTGTTGTGCAAAAACCTAATCAAGGTGTGACAAGAAATTCATCAAATGCAGCAAAAGAAAATTAGATTACTGGTGTTGATGGAAATATTGAAGTTTGTTTCAATGAACTCCATGCATAAATAGTGTCTTATATATATATATACATTTTTGTTATACAAATTTTAGAACAGTTCTTTGAACGTTAGTTAGCATACGAAACGTAAACGCAAAATCCTACCTTCCCTTATTGGCTATACATCAAAAGTTTTGAAATAACGATGTTCATAAGTGGTCAACCCGCGGTACAATAAGTTACTCAAGGCAAACAGTCGCTGCTGACCAACTAAAGACTCATCATCACTACCTCACCATGTTCAACGCGGAATGCAGATGGCACATTTCTCAAATTATTGCTCACTCTCAAATCAAGGTTCGTCGCTTGCTGGGATCATCACCGTTGCGGCTGCGTTCAAGTCTTTTGATTGTTTTACTTCTTTTACTGGTTTTCTCCTCGCGCGTTTCTTGGTCATATTTGGTTATGCTTATTCCGCTTCTTTCAACTCCCTGAGTGTATATGTCTGAGACTGTGATGTCACGAAAATAACTGCCGGCTATTCAATCAATCTGACACCAACATTGATTTTTTAAGGATTGGCTCTAGACGCAGAAAAAGCTTGTGTTCAAAACAAGACCAAATGAAGAATCTTGAAATCGACTTATGTGTTACAAGTTACCTTGCGCTTCACGCAATCCTTAATAACAAGACGTCATCTCTATGCTTCATTTTCCCACAAGTTTTTTGTGCGTTGAATAACAGCTTCAGTCAGTGACCCGGTTACAGTTATCGTTTTATATGCTTCGCTTGTTAAACTTCACATAAATTACACAGCCTAACAAATGCCAGTACATGCTAGTAGTAATGTACAAAACGATACATTAGATGTGAGATAAAATAGATTCTGTGCTACAAACTGAACAATCACATTTCTGAAGTTGTTTCACGATGAACCTAACAATTAGTAAGTTTCTCGAATGACGCAGCAGCTATTTTGAATAACCGAAATAATATGCAATCATCGAGAAATTGACACATGCAAGATACATAAAATTATTTAATAATTTTTATACACAGTGTTATGCCCATACACTTTGGATCACTTTAACAGTCAAATAGAAATGGCCAAAATATATATATATATATATATAGGACGATAACTCTGTATTCAAAGTATATGAGTTACCATTCCACTATCACCACAAAACCGGAAATTCGCAAGTGCCATACCAACGATCACATTACAGAGAGATTGCGTTATTTGCGGATGGAGTGTTAGCCGGTATCGTTTTTTTTTTATTCCTTAATACCTGGTTTTTGGTAATAAAGATACCATTTTCAGTCAGTATCCTTGCTAACAAAGATCAGGCAGCTAGGAATTAGGAAAAAGGAATACCGGCTAAAAGTTGATCCGCAAACAACGATACCGCTCTGTACACTTATGATCTCCATTTCTCTTTCTTATCTTTTTTCCCCCCTCCTAATATGTTGTCCCCTCTGCAGGTGAAAACCGATAGAAAGCAAAATTGTGGTAAAGTTTTTATTTCATGAAAATGAAATAAAGATATTAAAAAAAGATTACACGCGCAATCTTCGCAATTTGGCAAACGACAAAAAAAAAGAAACAGAAACGCCATGTTAAACGGCGCCGGTACCGAATAAGTGATAAAAGGTAGAAAAACCTAGGCAAAACGAAGACAGCAACGATGCACATAGTGAGTGAATATGTAATATGTACGTAACCCCGAAGGGAAATTTAGAACCAATCAATTACAACGGACGCGGTGCTCACCGACGAAAGTGTAAGTGAAGCCGAAAAGTGAAACGCCAAAAATAATCAAAATGAACTTTTGATCTTCGGTGGTGTAATGTTATAATTCGCGCACGAAGCGTAGAGTTAAACAGCAAGTGGAAACTTAACAGGAAAAAATCGAGAAAAAAGTGTCTGTAAATTAAGAGTGGAAGCTAGTCGGTTGTTTTCATAGTTTAAAAAGCTGTAAAGCTAAAGTGAGCAAACATGTATCGACCAAATTTCTACGAGTCAACATGCCTGCGGTGCAGCGAGATTGTCTATCAAGTGGACCGCGTGGGACCCCTCAAGGATTTTACCTTCTTCCATTCGGGCTGCTTCAAGTGTAAAAAATGCGGAACCAAGCTTACACTGAAAACCTACTACAACAATCAGCACAACCACGATGATAAAGAGGTAGGTGTACGATGTACAGTGCGAAGAACATACTGTTTAACCTGCGTTGAAAAATCACTCTACCGTCAATACTGACTTACTTCGTTGGGGGAAGTGTCCAACTAAAGCAAAAAAGTAGTAAAAACATACTGCTTCCGTTAATACTTGGAACTGCTTTCAGCAAACGATAAGTCACGCTAGTGCTTCAGCGAATGACGCATTGCCAATAACGTATGATTACAGGGCTAAAAAATCCCTCTATACAAATGAAAAGGTTAGTTCTTGGTCCCGTGTCTGGAAGAACTAGCAGATTCTGTATCTTCTCCTAGGAGCAGTTACAGAATCTATGTTTTTCTGTAGGGGACGGGGTAAGAACTTCCAACAGGGTAATACTCAAGATTCTTGAAAATTTTCAATACATAATAGATTCACAATATGTTTTTATCATTTTGAAACACCTTGTAGCTCCCGAACTTACAAAAAGCCAAAACAATGAATCATAACAAACTTCTCGTTCGGTGGGGCTTTTCACGATCTAATATTAAAAGCAATAAATCTAAGGATTTTCGATGAAAAAACAGTGTTAGTTTCGTTACTCTTCGTTAGGCTGTACTCCTTTTGTGACTGTTGATACATTTGTGTAAAAATGTATTAAACATGTGAAAATACAATACTACAATACAGTGAAAATGTAAATAAGGGTTAAGATAGACCACATTTGACGGCCACTGACTATATTTTTGAATTCTCATGTGATTTAACGATGCGTTTTGATTCAATATGATTTTGACCACTTTCCCGAGGGTACTCCGAATATACCCAGGAGGGGCTAATGTGGTTCTGGACACTCAGTTTTACTTCCATTGATCATATTTTCAAATTCTCATGAGATTTTATATGCCGTATTATGAGTTTGTTACGTTTTTGGTCATCTCTAGACCTGTGCTCACCGGTACTTGTTCTGGCTTTTTTCTTGGAACCGATCCCAAAGACATTCAATTATGAAATTTGTGGTCATAACATCTATCATTCGGTGCTTTTTGCGTCTAATTTGATGCAGTGGTTACCAAAAAAAAACCCGTCATGGTATCCCGAGCAGGAACCGATAGCTAATCGAGTAATGATATCTAATGGGGATTTCGGTATGATTTTGGTATAAAACCTTGTTTTGATATTATTCAGTTATCGAAAAAAAAATTGTAAAATATCAAATGAATACCAAAATAGCAAAATGTGATCTTTCAGTTTTTAGACAATAACACCAAAACAGAGTTATTGAATTGGTATTAGCAGACCTTAAAAATAACAAATTTTGGTATTCTAGCATCTAAAAAAAAGCGTCTGTTATCCGTTTGTTATTGTAATAACTAAATTAGGGGAATTTACGTATTCTCGTCAATCTAAGCAGCGTCCGCACTTCTATTAGCATTTTCTCAGCGTCACGCACATATATGACGTGTCTGTTTGTTTACATTCATCTGCTGCTTGCTTCTCTATGCATTCCAATCGACAGAATTTTTCAAAACGTTTTGAAAGCGTTTTTACAACCCTCCAAACTTCTCAGGTGAGTGTGACTATTGTCGGCAGCCTCTTTTTCTTCGGCAACGTTCCCATTAGAACTGCGTGTTAACCAGCTGTTCTATTATCGGCAACTCGAAATTGACCCCATTTTGTAGTGCGTATGCTTCATTTGAAGAAAAATGTGGCATTACTGGATTGCTCGATCGTACAAATATAATCAGATTGAAGCTGACAGGCTAAACACTCGTTTGGATACATTCAGGGAAGTGGGTTGATGGGAAAACATAGTGAAATTAACGTTTAAATTTTGGTTGCCGAAAACAGTCAATGGGTGCCGAAGCCAACATTTACTAAATAGGGTAGTTCGTTATTCGAAGAACATTTTTGAGGTATTATTTTTGGTATTTTGCATCTTATGTCAGCCTCACTAGTACCATAGAGGTAGCTCTAAGACCAGCAGGTCCCGAAGAAACGTGCTCAACTTTTTGGTTCCGCTCTGGTACTATCTTCGGTCCCAAGCTAATCGATGCACCCCTCGAAACATAGGAAAATCCACGAACCCCTCATATTATCTGTCAAACTTTCATAGCTAATCAAAACAAACATAGTGTAGTATTAGACTTTCGACTAGAATGGGGTACGTTAATCGATTTGTTTGGGACCAATAGGCTAGTCAAGTAGTGAGCCAATTTTAAATCGTTAGTTTCCACCGGTTGCTAATACCATATTTAGGTTGCCAGTTATGCTATTTTCATACCTGAATTTGGTATTAATAAGTTATTTTTTCCTAATAACTAATGAATACCTAACTCTGATCTGATACCAAAACCTGGTATTGATCAGCATGACATAAGAGGTAAAATACCAAAGAATAATACCAAAAAATTGCATACAAAATCCTTTGTAAATAACAAAAATTGATATTTGGATACCAAAAGATTACCTGGGTGGTATTGTTTTCGTAATGCAATTCCATAATTTTTTATTAGAATGGTAGTGTGCGAACATTTTTTTGGTATTATTTTTTGGTATTTTACCTCTTATGTGATGCTCAGACGAGGCTCGGTAGCTCAGTGGTTACCGTTTCTGCTTACTGAGCAGAAGGTCGGGAGTTCAATCCCAGGCCCGTCCCCTTCCTTGCAATTTTTCACTTTGCCTTATTCTAACCCACTAGATTTTAATGAAAACAAATTCTTCTTTAACACCGATCGCATCACTTACCACAGTGTGGGTCCTGATCTAAAAATAGAAATTGGATGAGTGCGCGCGTGTGTGTGTGTGTATGTGTTTGTGTATTATAATCGCTCTACCAAAAAACGATCCCTGCGTGTGCGTGTGCTACCTTTCCCCACATCCAACATCCCAGTGATTTCTCGTGGAAGCGCAGAGGATTTCTCGGTTTCCTTCACAGCGAGTACCACGTCAACACATTCCTTCCCATTCCCTGACCTGCATTCGGACACGGCCGGCGCTGGTATTGCTAAATATTAGATCTCCAGTTCTTACACATGTACGTGAATTTTCCGAATTATGCAGATTTTGTAAGGAAACAATAAGTGGTCAATTGTGTGTTTTGGGCAATCATTCACAATTTTGGTAAAAGTTCGGACATTTTGGATACTGTAACGAACTGAAATGACGTCTGAGACTAAGTTGTTTAGTAATTCTGGGAAAAATATACGCTGTAATGTTTTATTTAGTAATATTGAGTCAAAATGTTTTAAAATGAAAAATCTTAACAAGTATATGTTTAACATTTATAATTAATTTTTGAAATACAGCTAAAAAATATGCAAACTTTTGGGGTCATAAATCCATGGAAAAATTGACAAAAATAGTAGATCATTTAAATTTGGTTACAGGGGAAATGGACAACGTATAAATGTTTGTTATGTGCGCCACAACGAAGTTATTGATGGCAATTGGTTCTTAGGCATTACAGTTGAACGTGGCATGAAGATGGGTAATTATGGGGTTTTGTATCATTCTCCCAGTTCAAGTAATAAGCGTTTTATTGAAATTTTAGAGAACTGGCTCGAGACATTTTTAGATTCTAGTAAATTAAATATACTTGCGTGTGATTTTAACATTAGTTGGCATGATACTAGCAATTCGAATCATCTGAAGCAATTAGCTGATTTCTTTAATTTAAAACAATTAGTAAGTGAATGTACGCGTATTTCCCGGCACATTGACCATGTTTATTCTAATTTTGATTCTGTCAGTTCAGTTGCTCAAGCTGATTTGAAAATAACCGATCATGAAACTTTAGTAATTAATGTCTTAGACCATGTTAACGATAATGATAATTTTGTAAAATTGAAGTGCTGGAGGAAATATTCGAAGCAAGCTGTTTCCAATATTGTTGAGAGAAGCGTGGATTTTCCATTAGTTACCGGAACTTTAGATGAAGATGCAGCTGTTCTTACTAAGGTTTTGAAAACTTATACCAATAAATTAGTTGAACAAAAGTTTGTTTCTTTGAAAAACTCGAACAGCTGGTACAATTTGGATCTTTTGCGTCTTAAACGTAAGAAAGTTGGACAAATGACAAATGGTACAAAAAGTTTTGTAGATCTAATAGTGATAATCATTGGAATAGGTACACGGTCGCGCGTAATAAATATTCACAATCGATAAAGAAAACTCGATGTGAATATATTCAAAGGAAAATTGATCAGCATCAAAACAACATCAAAGAGTTATGGAAAATTTTGAAATCTTTGATGAAGCCTAGTAATTGTAAATCGCGGACCATAACTTTTGATGGCATATTAGAACAGTCAGAACCAGTAATTGCTTCTAAGTTTAATGACTATTTCGTCTAGAGCGTTTCACTGATCAATCAATCTATTGAACTGATCAAGGAACCGGACGAAATAAAACAGCCGATTAATAGTAACTGTAGATTTGATGGTTTTCACCCAATTACATTAGATGAACTTAAAAATATTTGCTTTTCATTAGGAAAAACGGCTGGAGTAGATAATGTTAATGCTAGAGTTATTCAAGATTGCTTTCATGTCATTCGACACACTCTGCGGGACCTTATTATTCAATCATTGCAATCTGGGCACGTGCCGCATATTTGGAAAGAATCTTTAGTTGTTCCTATACAAAAAGTTGCTGGGACGATTAAAGCCGAAGAGTTTCGTCCCATCAACATGTTGCACACATTAGAGAAAATTTTAGATTTTGTTGTAAAAGATCAGCTGTTAGAATATTTAAATAGTAATTGTTTGTTGATACCGGAACAATCGGGATACCGGGAAGGCCATTCTTGTGAAACCGCGTTAAACTTAGTGTTAGCTAAATGGAAAAAAAAATGGAGCATAAAGATACGATTGTTGCTGTGTTTTTGGATCTAAAACGTGTTTTTGAGACAATTTCTAGGCCCTTATTGTTGAGAACAATCAAGCGCTTTGGAATTTCGGGTTCTGCATACAAATGGTTTGAACGCTATTTATCTGACAGAACACAAAGGACTGTTTTTAATGATT